TACACATATATATATATACACATATATCTACATACATACATATACACACACACACACACACACACGTATATACACACATATGTATATATGTATATATATATTATGATCCAGACTGGACTAAATAAAAATGAGGACTGAAATACAACCGGCAGCCTGGACTCTGATGAAGCAGAGAAACTCCTGAAGGAAATGACATCAGCCTTCTCTTCTTCTTCCGCTTCAATTATTCTCATCTCGCTCATTTCCTATTTTAAAAAAGCTCATTTCACATTCATGAACACAACGCGCTGTTGGCACGACGAGCAGCGGTGAACTGCGCACAATATGGCCGCCTTCTCTGGCAGGAGGAGCGGGGAGAAGAAGAAGAGGGAGAAGGAGAAGAATAAGACTTGGGAGGGTTACAAGAAAACTGCACGACATTTACGATGCGGCCACCTGTCGGGGTTCAGACGCACGGTGCCTTCAGGGACGCCGTGGTTTTTGTTTTTTTGTTGTTTCCTCTCAATCAAACCTGAGTCAGATGTTCACGTTTCCTCATTCGATTTGTGGAATGTGTCTGCTGATGTCGACAAAAACACCAAGTCTGTGTCTTAAAGGGGCAGAGCACATCTCTTATTTTACTGCTGATTATTTAAAATCATGTTTTATGTCTCAAAGAGCTGGTCTCAAGGAATATTTAGGTTTTAGACTCTTTTTGTCCTGTAAAACATTGACATGTTATTGTAATTTTAACGAGAAGCATTTATTGTTCTAACATATTGTTTTATATTTATAATTGAAGATGTCTCTCGTGATAAGTTAGAAATGATCATGAGCAGCATCTTCAATCTATTCGTTCATTTAAATGTTATCTTCTTATTCCTTTACTAGCTTTTCTAACGACATTTCAAATGAATAAATAATAAATATCCTAAATGTTCTTTGGTGGAAACTTGCTGCCAATGACAGCATCATGTCTGATGCAGAGTGTGTTGTTACTGCGGTGCATTGAACACGTCACATAACGCTGAGCTTTAACGACAATAAACACAGATGTGATAGAAAATATCTGTTCTATTATGAACTGGAATGAAAGCAAAGCTATGGAAGCCTGGAAGGACAAATTCATTCAAATCTACAAATGAAGAATCATTTCAGTTGTTTGGCCTTTTTTCTTAATTGTTTTTAGAAAAACACCAAAACTAATTGAACTTCCACATTTAACGTTTTTGGTACATTTTTCCATTTGATTATTCCGGGTTTCCCACATTTTGCAGAACCTCTGGGATCCTAAAAAACAACCCGACTGGAAACTTCTATCCATGCATGCTTTCATTTCTCCACTCTGTATTTCTGACGACAGAAGATGTGAGGTGTGATTTGGATCGAGGCGTGTTGGACCGGTCCTCCTGCTGCACGTTTCACTGAGGACACTGAGATAACAACAGGCTCCATTCACAACACACCTCCACATCAGAAAGAAGAAGAAGCTCTTGTCAGTCGTATCTGTAAATGGAATCACAGATTAGCATTGCAAAAGGAGGCGGCGGCGGCCGGACCGTCCATTGTGAGGGTCTCGTCTCGTCCCTCTTTCCTCCAACAAAGACCCCGAGAGCGGCGATAAACCGGTGTTAAACAGAACGCCTGAACACGACGCGGTGACATTTACTTATCGCACTAAACAGCCTTCCATCTGACCTTTCTGCTACTTTGAATGACATCTGGATATTCTGACGGAATAATCGGGACAGTAAAAAAAAAAAGATTCAAAAGAGAGAGAGAGAGAGAGATAAAGGAAGTCCGGACTACAGGACGGTCTGACAATGAGGCTTGAAGGACGAGTCGGAGAGAAGAGGAGGATTGGCACACCGGGAGGAAGATGTTTACTGAGAATAACAAAAGATGATCCTGGTCTCAGAACCTTAAACCTTCACTTTAAGCTCGTCTTCAAGCCCACGGAGCTTCGGTCCAACATGATGAACTTTACTTTATATTCTCGTGGAGGTCTCAGAGTTTGAGGTTGACACGTAGAGTATTTCCATCTGATGCCGAGGGGCAGAGACAGATACAGAAAGGTGTTTTTTTTGTAACTTAAATGCAGCTTAAGGGGAAATTTAAAGGTGGAAATCAGGGTTTAAGAGCAGAGGATGGAGACCAATAAACCTTTAAACATTCACGTAATAATAAATCCCTTTTGGAAGACATTTCTATTTGTCTTGGTAGAACTTTTGGGTGACAAAAATTGCTTCAAACCTTTTTTTTTAAACACAAAACAGTTTGGTTAGCAATCGACAGGTTGTCAACCAGGAGTTTGGTTTGTGATGAGTGAGGTGAGCCTCTAAAGAACCAGAAGTCCAGAACATTCCTGACAACAGCAGCTCAAACATTGATGAGCTGTTGTCACCAACGTACAACCACTAAGCCTCGGGTCATCGTCCCCTGTGACATCATAAGACGCTGACATCACATGCATCAGACACCGGCACACGTCCGTCGGGTTCTTACCGGTGTAGACGAAGCGTCCCGGCGCTCCTTTGCAGAACTGTTTGGATTTGTAGGACAGCGTGACCTCCACGACCCCGGGGATGTGACGAGGGGGAGTCTGGACCCGGATGGCGTGAGGCGTGATCAGCTGGGGGACGGAGGAAAAAGATACAAAGCAGTTATGTCTTTGTTTTCCTGTTCAGAAAACAATAATAACAAGTTATGTGATAAAGATGTCAGCACACAAAAGCTGATGATCCACCACTTCCTGACACTTTCTCTCGTTCGGTGGCTGTTTCTCCCCCAATCGGCAGTGACGTATACGTAAACCCGCCGTTCAACGCGCCACCATTTATGTTTAAAATTAAACGTCGAGCTAAGTGTTGTCATGGCTGAACACATCCCAGACATCAACCAATTACATGTTGTATTCTTACTGCTGTTCTAACGTGTTTAAGGTTGTGTGAACAAAGCGTTTAAAACGACGCCTCAACTGATTTTGATATCTAAACTTCAACTCAGCCGACACTTGAACTTAAACTGTGACTCCTGAAGCTGTTATGTCTTCAGGACTGTGATGAAAGCAGCATTTTGTATCTCTTCTTCTTCATGCAACAAACTTTCTGTAGAAAACAGTCCGACTGTCGTCCTCGTCTAATCTGGGTCAGCATGCCGTGTGAGTCTGAGTGTTCAGAGGGATTCTGGGCTTTGGAGTCCGTCTGCTGACGCTGATCAAAGCAAAGATCTCCGTCATCCCCCCCCCCCCACCCACCGCCAGGTGTTCTGCTCTTCTGGACCTGCTTCAATATTTCATGGCGCGCCGTATGCGTACAGCTCCTCCTGCACCTCAACGCCAGCTACAAAAATCTACATATTTTTTGGGGGCATGCAGACCTGGAGGAGCTGCACACAGATACAGATGCAGGTGTTTCTACGAATGTGTGTGTGTGAGTGTAGATGTGTGTGTGTGTGTGTGTGTGTGAGTGTGTAGATGAAGAAGATGGAGAGCGTGATGTGCAGTATGTTGCAGCTGCTCTCGGAGCTCAGACTTGGGGTTTTTTTTGGTCTGTTTTGATTTCATTTGATAAATTAAATGCAACTATTGCAGCAACATGATCTGAGCTTGCAGAGCTCACAGCTGAAATTCATTTAAAATGTTCCTAACATCTCATAAAATCCCGTCTCCTCCTCTCACCTCGCTCCAGACCAGCATGGTGCCGAAGACGACCTGCAGGCCGTCGAAGAAGTTGTCCCCGATGAGGATGACGGTGGCCCCGCCGGTCGTCCAGCCCTCGCTCGGGCTGATGGCTTTGATGCAGGGCGTGGCTGCTTCGGAAACACAGGCCACACGACAGCAACATCAGCAACATCAGCAACATGAGCAACACGAGCAACATGAGCAACGCAGTTGGAAACACAGCCGGAGAAATGACATCATGCAGAAATCGACTCTGGAAACGTGCAAATAAATGAGACATTTTCTCCATTAAAAGATGATTTAATGAAGTTATTTTTACGTCTCTTTTAGTTCAGCTAAAAGAGTTTTGTTGATAACAGCTGACAGATCGAATTCTGATTGGTTGAGATTAAATAACACTTAGAAGTTTAACACTTTGGTAAATCTTCACTTTCCACTAGAAATCTTTTTGCTACTTCCTGTTTGTGTCTCGTCAGTTCTATGTCTTGCAGGATTTTTAATTTTTTTTTGTAACAAAGCTTGTAATAGTTTACTATAACTAAAAGATTTTGGTGCAACATTTTAGAAATTTTAAGCCTAAATTTTCACGCCACTTGGTGGCAACCTGAGCCGAGGAAGAACCTGTTGTTTGGGAGCGGATCACGGGGCGGACACACAGCCTTACTTTTCACTATCGCTCTAGTTTGTGTCCTGTTTCCTTTTTGCTGAGTTCACGGAGAGCTTTCAGTCCCGTCCGTCTACCACTAACACGTGAGCAAAACGATCGGTTTTTCCAATAGCACCGCGATCAATAAGGGGCTCCACACGAACAGCGTCTCCGCGGTGACTAGACTGATGTCCAGTCGAAGTCAGACAGGCTGACGGAGGAAGACGAGACCGAGGCTCCGTCAGGTTTACAACCTTTTCCCGGACGAGAGACGTTTGTGTTCAGAGGGTGATTTGATATTCCAGTCAGAGCTCAGAGTTTCCTTTTGTTTACTATGAGATGTGATCAATAGCTGCGTTCAGAGGCTCTATTAAACACTGATGTTACTATTGATCAACTCTGGTTGGGCGTGTTTTTTTAAATTTATTTTTCATCATTTTGGTGGCTCAGAGAGTTCAAAGAGTCTGAAGTGACCAAAAGTTTCTGCTCCGCCCTAAATCATCCCCTGCTTTATGGTCTGTTTGACTCTAAATGGACCATAATGTACTAAATGAACATCATGCTGTATTGAAGAAGACTTGAAACTAGAGATTGAGACCATAAACTCATGTTTACAATGTTTACTGAGGTAATAAATCAAGAGAGAAGTAGAGTCATTTTCTCATAGACTTCTATACAACCAGAGGAGTCGCCCCCTGGTGGACACTAGAGAGAATGCAGCTTTAACACACGACTGATATCTTAAGTAAAGGGTCCTCGTTGCCCCCCCCCGGTCTGGTTTCAGCATCAACTTTTCAAAGTCACTCAGAGTTTTACAGATGAAAGAGAACCCAGAAGCTGCAGTAGAGGGTCGAGGCTTTTCCCGCCCCGAGGAGTCGATTGTCATCTCCTTATTAATTTCCCCTTTTTGTCACAGCAGTAAACAAACAGTCCGATGGGTCCGAGGGGGGGTGTAGCACAAAGGCGAGGAGCAGGCGGTGGAAAGTTTTCTCGAGGACACGGGGGGGGTTTGAGGGTTGGTGTGACAAAAGGCAGGAGCAGATGTTGGGGGCTTTTTATCGGCTCTGGAAACATCCCAGTCTTGGATGAGATGAAAGGGCCCCGAGCTCTGAGATACGGGGGCCGTCTGGCAAACAACGGGGCCCCCTTTTTGGGGGTAGCGGGGGGCCCTGTAGGACACCGTACAGTACGACACCGTCAGAGAGGAAACGCTTCTCTACATGAATGTTTAAGTGCTTTGTGTCTCAAGGTGTTCTCACAGGTGAGAAACGAGAACGTTCTCAGAACGGTGAATGACACATCGGTGTCAAATACCGTTTGTTTTATCCCTTTGGACGTGCCAGACAGGTGGGGTTTGAAAGGAGAAAGAAGTTTGGGCAATCACAGGAGGTCAGCTTAGTCTTTGATCAACACCCCCCCTCACTATGATAAATACCACCCGCCTGGTGCTGCAAGTAGGTTAAACCAAACGAGACAATTACATCATCTGCTCCTCGAAAAAGCCTCAAAACTTTAAAACGAGTCGAGGGAAACTGCGGCGGTATTCGTTTGGGAGGCGACAGAGAGACGACACGATGGGGTTCTGAAGTCTGACCAAATATTTCTAGGGTTTGTTTCACTCTGTTGTACGTCCCAGAAGGGTGGGGTTTACCTCATAGGACTAAAACTGATGAGTGTCAAGAAGACAGAAATTAACAAGAGTTTGTTCAGTTAACTTTTCAGTGACTGAAGGTTTCATCTGATACTTTCCGATGCCCTGATATTGAGAGCCCCACCCGTCCGGTGCTCCCAGCAGGTTAAACCAAGCGAACAAGTTACACTATCTCTCCATGAAAAGCCCCAAACTTTTTATTAGTTTAAGGAGACAGCAGAGTGGTGCTGGGGGGTGAAAGATGGAGAACACAAGAGATGCTTCATGTTTGGTACCAAATCGTTTTAAGGGCTTGTTTTGCTCAGTTGGACATCCCAGAGGGGTGGGATGTGTTTGGCTAGGACTACAGGACAAGTGGCTGGAAGTTCAGACAGAAGTGTATAAAAGTCGGTTTAGTCTACTATCTTGTCTCTAAGATGTTGGTGGATGCCCTGACATGGTAAGCCCCACCCGGCTGGTGTTCAAAGTAGGTAAAAACAAGCAAAGCAGTAACAACATCTCTCCTGAAAAAGCTTCAAACTTTAAAACAAGTCGAAGGGAAACTGCAGAAGTAGTCATTTGGGATGTGAGAGAGGGAAGACACATTGATGTCTGACTGGTGGCAAAATGTTTGTTTTATTCCACTGTATGTCCCAGAGGGGTGGGGTTTACCTTACATGAATCACAACTGCTGTGAAGTTTAGTATTAAGTAGTATATAAAAGTGAAAGTCAATATACTCGACTTTTCTGTGACTTTCAGTTTGAACTGATTGTTTCAAATTTCCTGAATTGGTAAGCCCCACCCCTCTGGCATCCCAGCTAGTTAAAACGAGCTCTCCTGGAAATACCTCAAACTTTTACCTGAGTCAAGAGAAACTGCAGAAGTAGAGACACTGGCTTGTTGATGTCAGATTGGTAATTGAACTTTTAAGCGTTTGTTTTAACTCTCTGTAAGTGCCAGACGGGCGGAGTTTACCAAACAGGATGACTTAATTAGAGTTGACAGTTTTAGACACCCACAGGGTGTTTTTAAGAGTTAGTTTAGTTCCACTTTCCACTGACTGACATCTCGCCTGAGACTATCTAAAGTCTCTATATCATAAACTCCACCCGTCTGGTGTTCCAAGTACGACGAAACAAACAAGAGACTTTTGTGTATAAGCCTTAAACTTTAAAGCGAGCTGAGGGGAAACTGCAGAGGAAGGTGGTTTGGAAAGTTGGACGATATATTGATCTGCTCATGCTTGATTGCTTTTTAGCAAAATAAAGTTTGTTTTACTCTCTTGTAGGTGCCAGATGGGTGGGGCTTTTTTCACAAAGAACAAAACAACAAGCGCTCGGAGGTTCAGAGGGAATATATTAATTCAGTCTACTTTTGAGTGTCCAACATTTGTTCTGGTGGCATTACTGGTGCAGGCTAAGCCCCACCCATCTGGCACTCCAAACGAGAGACTTATGTCATCGCTCCGGAGGGCTTTTATTAGAGAGGGGACAAAGTGCTGTTCAACTTTTTACAACTTCAGAAGAAAATGTTACCGCCGAAGCTCCGGCTCTTGGGGTCCAGTTTCATGGTGTGAAGTTTATACGCGAGCGATGCATTTTTTATTTGGGTCTCGCTGCGGAACGCTGGAAGAACGGAGCGTTTGTTTGAGTTTTCTTTTACTGCGGTTGGTTTTTGGACTTTTTGGACTTTCGATATTTCCCACTTTTCTTTTGATTTATTAAAGATTCTGAATCAAACGCACCTCAAATATGACGAGTGTCTTGTTTGGCTTCATATACAAAAAGTTTTCCGCTGATTATTAAAGGGTCATTACACTGATTTTACATCTAAAGTTTAATGTTAAATGTCTTCTGTTGCTAGACTCTAATGAAAGATACAAACCAGATGCATTATGGGAGTTTTGGGACTAAAAGTCAGGATATCTCCACCTTTGCTGCTCAGACTCGGACCGTTCTCGTTTTAATCTTTTTAAGTCTCAACTTTATGGACATTTGAATGCTTAAGTTAAGTTTAATTGAGGTCAAATCATTTAGAATTAGCATAGCATGTGAAGTGATGGACACAAATCCTCCTCTGACTATATATATATATATATATGTCACCTGTGATTTGGCAAGTTTTTATTTTGTAGATTGTTTTTATGGAAATGCTGCTTTTATTTTCAAAGTCTGACAGGATAAAGAGAAGCTCCAGCTTATGCTGATGTCTTAATATGTCTGCATGAATGCATTAATAAATCATGCGAGTTTCATTTGGACTCCAAAGAGTCCCGAACCCTCTAACCCCCCCCCCCCCCCCATGTGTCTCCAAGCGACGTCTAACCTTCAGAGGGGTCCAGGCGTCGGGCGCGGCGGCCATGTTTGGAGTTGTTGTGGACAAACATGTTGTCTGACACCGAGAGCACATGGCCGTCCACGTTGACTGTAGTGGAGATCACCACCTGCAAACACACACACACACACACATCAGGGTCACTTAGATCTGGATCAGCCTCAGAGGAACCCCTCATGGAGAAGTAAAGGTGCGTCTCTTACCTGGAACCTCCTCATGTCTCGCGGGTTTCCTGCATTTTTCAAACAGTTCTGATTGCACTTGAGGAAGAACTTGAGGAAGAATCTGCAGATAAAAACAAAAAAGACAGATTAGTGTGGAGGCACAGAGACACTGATCCAGGATCAGAGAGAAGGCTGCAGGTAAATGAAGTCGGGCTCTGTTTGGTTTTACAGGACGCTCAATTTAACTGAACATGAGTTATTTAGTTTAAATCACGGCTCATAAGATAATAAATGCACGTGTGACTCAGGTGTTGTAATAAAATGCACATCTATCTTTGTGGCTGGTGAATAAATGAAGCGCTCCTCTCTCTCTCTGGGTTTCTGTGTGAAGGGTTCACGTCTCGTCTCTCAGCTGCAGATACAAATTATCATTCAGCGGCGGCGTCCTGATGAAGACAGTCCAACACTTCCTGCAGACTTATGGCGTCTCATTAGGAACCGCCATTTTCACACAACCCCCCCCCCGATCTCCCTCTTTGATTTACGCCCAGTTTTTTCGCGGCAGCAGAGGAGTATTGATTGGGAATGGATATCAATGAGGACGGGCGGCAATAAGCCGCAGTTTTTGGAGGAGGACACCGGGGGGGTCGGAATGGATGGCCACCTTAATGCATCTCCCACTGCCTTGTAATCTGTGCACATCCATCTTCTTCTCGGACCATAAGCCCCCCTCTCTTTCCTGTTCAGATGGAGCGCTTCCTTTTTAATTGCCACATTATCACAATAATAATCCGGGCAGTTAACAAGCGGCAAGGTCGCAGACAGACATGTCACATTAACCAGGAGATAACCTCGGCAGAATACCCACAACCCGTCGCCTGCTGCAGCAAGGCATGCTGGGAGTGAGGTGGGGGGGGGCTGTAGATATTAATGGTGGCATGAGGTCGGCATCGATTTCCACCTCAATAAGACAGAAACAATATCTTTAAATACTCACAGCTGGAGCTCAGCCAGCTTTCACTTTCACTCTTCAGACACAGAATCCTTAAATTCACCTGAAACTGGAATTAATTTATGGATTGTTAAATATTAAAGTTGATTTTTGTGGGCTTTTTGCTTTAGAGGTTTTCAAATGGTAAAAAAATATATATAATATATTAATATCTAAAACAACTTTAGGTTACCCATTAATTTGGACCTTTAAGGGGTTTTAAGATTCCCTTTTTAAGGATTATCAGGTGTGTGAAAAATGTACTCACTAAAACACCTTAAAAACTCTTAAACCACTAAGACAACCCCACCCTCTTTATGTATTCAAATCTATAACTAAAGCCCCAGTTTAAGGTAATATTAAATTAGGAATTAGGGGTTTCCTGTATTTTGAAATAGTACATTCTAAGGTTTTTCTATTTATTTATTATGGATTGAATTATTGAAGTGCTTTTAGGGTTTACCTCCTTTCTTATTTAATACAATTATTTATTTTTTATTTATTTAAATATAGAGATTAATTTTAGGTACCAATTAAGGGGCCGCTTTAAAACGTCTTAATCTCTTTAGAAAACTAAATACTTAATATACTTAAATGTATTTCTACAGTCACAAGTTCTGAATAAGCAATAAAGAGATTAATCTGCCATCTTTCAGTAAACTACGACTAAAGACTAAAGAAGTGTCTTCAGGTTTAAATTTAGACTTATTGATCAACAGACGAAGAGTTTTCTTCAGTGTGAAATATGAAAACCGGCTGGACGGTCATAATGTGGGTGAAACGACCCTTTAAAGAGACACAGAGAGGTGTGTGTGTGTGTGTGTGTG